CTCGTTTTACTGGTTAAAACTGCTTACATTATAGTCCTCTTTACCGGTCACGTCACTTATGCTATCACTGTATTATGCGTTTTTTACTATAAGAGAATGGTTTTAGAAGACAGCTCGTAGCGCGACCAGGCAATCATGCAATAGCAATAATCGCCCTTTCTATGTACCGGGTCACACACTAATAGGAAAAATAATAGATTGGTCGGAAGGACAGAAAAACAAGCGCTGCTTTACCGCTCCTTGCCCGACAGATAACAGCTAGTGCACCGATTTACTGATGACTAATACCAGTCATTTTTTCTTTAGCAAAGTCTCGTGCGATTAGTGCGAATAGTCAAGATAGTCGATCTCACATTCACGATATGACCCATCCCTTTTACGTAATGAAGAATCACCGTCGCCCTCTCATGGGCTGTTGCCAGGCCTCGTATCGGTGATCGTATCAAAAAAACAGCTACAAATAAAAAGCGACTCACTCTTTTTTGCCATACCACGCTTCGGAGGCGAACTACCCAAAACATCGATAATCACCCAGCAACAGCAACAACGCGAAGGGCTAATTGATTCGACGGTGGCCTGATCCAACCGATCTCGGGAATACAGTGCAAAATAGGAGTGGTAAAGGTGATAGCAGCTGATCTTGTGATGGGACAATATCTACTACGACCATCGCCATCACCAGCACTCACAAGTGACCAATGACTACGGAGCAGTGGATCGACTTATTATGATTATTTGTAGATAACTTAACTCTTGGCGTTGCTATCGACACACTTAACAGCTTAGCTGCTATACACGAGGCAAAGCAGACCTCCCCCCTTGACCAAAGTACCAATGAGCGTCACTGTACCAAGCCGCCGCCGACACAAAAGGTCGCTCCCGGTTCCACGCGATCGAATACGGCCAAAGGACCACCGAGGGTGACAGAGACATCCTGGTTAGAAGACAAACCCTCTGGAGGTTTCCCGCTATTATCATCTGCAGGCGAAATAGGAGAACGAAAGAAATGCAGGGCAAGAGGAGCAATCAATCTAAGGGCAACGAATGGCAGCAGTGGTGAACCTAGTTATTTTCTGATTCAGACTGCTTAAATTGTATAACACTGATGATATGGACAATCGTAAAGCTGTAAGTATACGAGCCCACTGACAAAATCCGGTTTTTCTTGAAGTACGTTGCTTGGTATTCATGTGGCTTAAGTAGCACATTTGTCTTTACATCTCGTAATGTGGCTTATGTTGATCTTGTATGACTTGTGTATCGCCCGTAACAGAGGGAGATCTGGGATTGTTTGTGTGAGGTTTCGTTGTCACGCAAACATCGTTGACAACGTTAAAAATAACTCGTATATAAAAAGAAACAAGTTCTAAATGAACGTCGTATACGAGCTCGTAAATAGGGTCAGACGTATCTTGCGATCTAGCACAGCATAGGATCAAACCAAGACAACTAAAATAGCTATGAGCGACGATTTTCCATATCGGCTATAAAATAGAATTAGGAAGTTTCCATTGATACAAGGTCCTTATTAGATAATATCGTCGGCAATCATAGAGTGAGGCGCATAACCATAACTCCGGAACCCGCCGCAGTACAGTTAATCGCACAAGGGCGGGACCCTCAACGATCTAGATGTATTCGTCTGGGAAGTGGATGTAGTGGACTGTTTGAGCAACAGAAAAAAAAGCAGCGCAAAACAAGACTGCCACTGTGCAAATTGCTAACCCGACCGTAGGACCAGTATCCACGGTCATACTGGAGATGGTCATACCGGATCAAGCCATCTGGTACTAGCCTCGAGGGCAAACGCCATTCCCCCGCAGGCCGAAGACTGACCGGACTGCTCGAATCCAATAAATATCAAATGTATTGCAGTGCGACTTTTTAATCGCGGCCGCTGTGCAGCTCCAGGACAGCTGAAATACCGATTGTGGAACATAACGTCACAGTGGATATGGTATAGAGCAAGCACGAGTGGTTTCTACCAATCTGTACTAAACTTCAGCATCAGTTCCTGTACAAGGAATGTCCGTCTGAAAGGACGCGAATAATAGTTCGTAGTATATTAGTGTGTAGTTCAGGTTAGTGCGGACGGGCGCCTCTAGAAGATCATGAAGTATTAGGGATAGCTCAGAATATTTGTGGTCAGTTGTCATTGTTCTTAGACACGCAATGGAAGTTTAAATACTTTATATTAATATAATTCTAATAATAGTTACCTGATCAAGAATGTAAAGTGAGACGATATCCTTCTTAAGAATTCTACGATTTGTGGTCTATTGAGGTTCTTTTCGATCTCCAACACACTATGCAGCACAGGTTGAGGTGTCAATGAAACCTGCATTGAACGTTGTGACTGACGTTTATTTTGGCGGTTAGCTGCGGCACAGTGAAATCAAAGAGGAACGTGCACACAGGAGCGAGGTACACCGTTGAGTGGAAGAATGTTGATGATCTACAGGTCATCATCAGGTTCTGCAATAACATGTTCTATCTATTCTCGATAAATTTTACCTGATAACTTCTTTCATTTCTATCAATGATAAGTCTTCCATGACAATGCGAGCATTAACCGCTGCCATTATATATGATTGCCTTAATGTCGGTCTATAATTCTCTCCGCTTTCTCATTTCCCGTAGCGAATCCGCTTGTTCGGCGGTTTAACTAAATGAAGCCGCAGTTCTCATTTCGTTAAAGTCCTAAAGCGTGTGTACTTCTAACGAGCGAAAAACCAAGCAAGGATGAATGCTAACGTCCAACGAATCCACCCATAGCGACAGAGCACAGGTAATCCCGAGAATCGGTTCGTCGGCCGAGTGAGTCGATACGTAAGCCGTATCGAGGCTTACCAAGCTATCGCTGAAGGCGTCAGTACTTCGACTAACAATAGGGGCAGAAAACATCGATTCGTGGCTGGCTAGGCGGCTAATCGAGAAGGATCTGTACGAACGGATGCATTGCATCATAACAGATACGATTTAACCGCGCTGTCGACCTTATACATAGAACTGCACACCCTGTACACCGAATAGCTATAGTCACCTGTGTCGTCCGTTAGGAACAGTAAGATAAAAAAAAAAACGTTTCTACACGTATTAGTTTTTTTCCTTCAACAACGATACTGAATATACGTACTGCCCTCTTGAACAGACCATCAAATCAAATAATATACCTCAATTGATATTGCGTTAGATAAAATGTGAATCGAAATTTTTTATAGAATCCAGAATATTTTATAGAATTTTTTATAGAATCTTCTGATTAGACGTCATCCTTTAAGGTGATAATGCCTCGTATGGTAAAGCGACCCTGTCATTGTCGAATAACATGATTACCTTATAAGCATATTAAGCAAATAATCCGTTAACCGAAGCGTTATAGGGCGCTTCAAACTTAAAGACCTTTGCTTAGAAACCTTTAGTTGAAACCGGAGACATTCGTTTACTGCGATAGAAGCGAAAGACATTTAGCGACGTATACTTTGTTCCTTATAAAATTTAAGTGCTGTCACCAAATTTTTTTTTTATTATTTTATCCGTCTTCCTATTAACAACATGGGAAACAAAAGAGTAGATTATACATATGTGTTATCATGATTTCCGTGTTGTTAATTTTATAATATTAATAATAAGTAAATATATATATAAATATTTACTTTTTATATATATGACTGACAGTATGTATATATATTTGTATATACTGTCAGCTACGACCGTTATGTTTTTCGGTCCAACTTTTAATATAAAGGTACAGCTGATTAAAACTTTGTTGTTAAAGCAAAATATCGCCTCCGGCTATATACGTATATATATATATATATATATATATATATACTGAATGCGGCTATACGGAAATAATCCATTCAATAGCAGCACTCATTTGGCAAACCATTAGACTGTGTATTCAGCATGCCGGATCAACTACGGTATGCGGTTTCTCTCTGAATTCTCAAATTATGCATCGTCTTATTCGGCACATTTTTGCTAGGGCTATACACTCGGGGATTTAGTGTGCTTTCCTCCACGTGCGACATCCCCAAAACATAATTCGTCCCACTGCTAAAACTTCTCTTATCCCCAAAACGGGCCGCGAAGATCGGAAACTAGACAACGAGGGGGATTAACGGGGGCATGAAAGTTAACTACTATTGTTACAATATGTTCATGTAACTCGGCACTTGCTCGCTGGGTTTTGGTATGATAGAAGTTTGAGCCATGCTTATATTTAGCACTTCGCTTTATTCTAATGGAATTTCTATTTAATATAACTAGCGAAACAAAAAGACAGGAGTCTGTCTTGCGACCACAATGGCATGGAATTGCTGTGTAGCCGTCCTTGCTTTTTGCCAGCACCCGAATGATTTCTACCAGAGTCGCCGCCTCTCGTAAAATGTCTAGATGGATGAGCAAAAGGATAAGAGAGACCACAAAGACCACGCATATTGCATTGCCCGCTCTCGTAGTGTACGCCTATATGAATAGCTCACTGGGAGTGTCACACGGAGATGTTGGTCTAGTTCTCAAAGTAATACGATGCCTATTGACGGGATCAAACCAGAGAGTTACAGAAGGACACGACTGCTTCAATTATGTGGCACAGTTCAAGGATGCAGGATGCATTGGCTTATGAATTCGTGTTTAGCAATATTAGGCCCATTATTAGTTGCATTTTCTAGGCCGACTAAGTACAGGAAAAATGTACTTATTAGCATGATGGTCAAACCGTGAAGCCACTATTCCGAAATTCAAAATTTAGTGTGATCTGCTATGCGACGATTATATCATAATAAGTCAATAAATTAATTTAAACAGGTCATTCGCTGTCCACAAGATTCAAATTTTGGCCTATCTCACGTAAGTAGAGTGATATCTATCACTCAGTTGATTTCCCCGTAAGTCCTCATGGTAAACAGTTGAAGCTTAGAGAAAATAGGCGTCGATGAGGCAGACATTGTTTAATGTGACTAAAATCTAAAATCGAACGACGGTTTCGTAGCTACCTGATAATTCCATCCTCGATGAAAATCTCCCCTTCAAGGATCGCGTCATCATTAACGATCTTCGCGTTTTTGATCAACAACTTGACATGCCCTAGACGTGACGGAGGCTGAAAATCAGAGCAAAGAAACTGTCAGATATATATAGCTAAGAAGCACTTCATCTACAGATCGATTAGACCCTATTACACATTCGCCTACTATAACTAACCAAAATCTGCGAATAGTGTACCTCTTGCATTCCCGAAATTTTAGAAATAGGCCCGCTCGCTCAGCAACAGAGCAAAATGTAGAACATAGTGGACGCCCAATTTGAGCTTATCTGTAAGAAAGCAGTTGATTTTTCATGGCCATTATCTGTTCGACCAGATTTTCTCACTGCTAATTGCTAAGCACCAAGGAGCTGCTTCGTCTGTTTTCACAAAGGAAGCTTAATTTTAAATGCTACAGTTGTCTATTCTGTTTATTTAAGAATTGACGAAAATAAACTGTGCAGTATGAGGTTACATTAATTGTAAAACTTCTCTGTGTGTGCCATGTGTGAGTGAGTTTAGCTACAAAAAATTACTACTAACAGATGAACTGATCAACCAGTTCTGAAGCTGCAAGCTCTTTTAACGTGTAGTAACTTCAGATATTCCCACTGTGTTAACGAAGTCTTTTAAAATCACCTCGTTGGTGCAGCTTTCTTCCGACGACAAAATTCAGCCGGAATAGATCTTGCTAGTTCTATCGGCTTTTCTCCAACAGACCTGTGAGACGACGCACACAATATATGCCATTGGCAATTTTTTTTGGTAACGTTATGATGGCTGCATGTTCATGGCTACCATAACAGGAAGGTACTCATTAGCCAGCCAAACCATGATCTCCTCAATCACGTAAATATCTAACGTACACTCGATTATCAATAAGGATGTTCGTCTTTTCTTACGGTTTTCCTTAGCCTTTTGATTCGAAAATAGTCTGTAAGTAACCCTATCGTCGTGACCATCTCCTCATCCAACGGAATCTATGCATCGCATTCAAATGACGTGTCAAAACCAATCAGCTGTGGAAGGGTGGCGGAAGTACTACGGACCCATATACGCAACTCTAATAGTGTCGGCGGAATCAGGATATAAATCCTTTTTCGATTGGGAAAAAGGAACTGGCCAGTGATTCGGGGCTCACAGCTGTTCGGCAGTTTTATTTACGACAAAACTAAATGAATCCTTGCTGCTTCCATATATAGCTGAAGAAGTTACGTGGAGGGAATACTTGAGTAACAAAACAAAAGATAGTGCAACAATATAGATGCGATGTGTGTGAACAGCTAGGCTTGCTAGCCGATCAGAGACCAGCATATATAGTACAAATATCTGTTCTCCGGATCCTATTTCACAGCCAACAGAGTAGTTTACGTCATAAAAAGCAGCAGAGATCTGGAAAGCGACAAATTTAAAAACTGCCAACACGAATTGTATGCAAGAGGCGCTTTTAAGACAATCTTTTTTTATGTAGGTGACATACACGCTCGGATTTTTTTTACCTTCGACTAATCACACATGTCACTAGGATAAATACCTCAGATACATACCAATGATCAATGCAAAAAGCACGCGACGATTAAGTCTGAAATGCCTTTTTTTTTGCCTAACGAATTAGAATCGCTTACTTAGACGGGTTCAAACGACGATGTTAACTAGGGATCCGAAACCGTACTGCAGTAATGATGACAACTAGAATATTTGTTTCGATTCCGCCAATAAAAAAGGCATATTAGTAATCCTTATGCGGAATAGCTACGAGATGCAGCGTAAATGGACTTCCGTTGCGCAGGTCCCGTCGATTCGTACGTTGGCAAGCACTACAAATAATGGCAAACATGTACATCGTTAAGCAAGTATGTGTGGCAGGCGGTCAAAGAGATACCACTTTTGACTGACGTATCAAGTCGTTCACTGCAACAGTTCGCTACTGACTGGTCAAACCATCCAGACGTAAAAATTACTAATTAAATGAGAAAAATTGAAAGAACGACATTAAATCTAAATACAGGTACTATACCACGACAAGTATTCGAGGATAGCAAAATATGGCGAAAACATAATCGATGTTTGATCCAGCAACGCACGAGAAGTTTCGCTTCATGACAATACCGCAATCATCACCGCTGGTGTCGTGCCTAAGGCAGACATTTTCACAAGCCTCGACAGTAGCTGGTTCGTTTACCATCATGCTCACTCTGCCCAAAATATGAAAGATACAGATTTGACAGACAGACGAGACGAAATCGCCAACGACGCCGCTGAGGCACGCTTCTGCTTACGACGGCGTCGAGCTCGTTGAGGCAGCAAAGATTCGTACAATCATTCACTGCGTGCAGCAAAAGCAGCAGAAAAAAAACTATCTGTTACTATCTAACGCAAGCAGAACGCAGTAAAAGATAGGAACACATGCGCGAATGGAGCTCAATTTTGCCTGTAGTAGTACACTTACTGCTAGAGCAATGTAGACAAATATTAGTCGATGACCTTAAAGCTTCTCCGAGCAACAACAACAGAGAACTGTCATTTTGTAAACACGATGGCCTAGTGGCAAAAAAACGTTGGCAGACGATAGATTTCAGCTTTATTTGATGTAGTCTGAAGTTTACATTGTCACATGGTCACCCCATACGAATAACGCAACCGATAGCAAAGCTAATACTGCACGTGATAAAATCGCCATTCGCTCTGATTCTTATTCGTATATTATTACATTAGCGTCTGTTTACCACCAAATATACAGGTTCTCATAGCGAAAGAGCGTTTCGAATGTCCCGATTATCGAAGAAGCGGACGCAAAACCGCAGGTATCAGTGCGTCTAACACGAAAGAATCTAGCGTCCAGTGCATGAAAATACATGAAAACTATTCTCGTGACCCCCAAGTAAGCCAAGAAATATTGTCATTTAGTTCCTTAAAAAGCTTCCAATATTAGACCTTCGCATTGCGAAGAGTCAGCCTTTGCGAGCTGGTAATTGCGAGAAGCCCGACTTCAGTTTGAACAAACGTATCGCCCATAATATATACATACTAACCAAATAAACTCAGTTAGTCAGCAAACGTTTGTGCCAGCCTTTACGCACGCTATGGTTGAGCAATGAGGGAACATTTCCTATGTCACTGAGGTAAGAAAACGATGAACTACTTTACAAGTCAAAGCAACGCGCGTTAAAACCCTCCACATAGCTAAACAGCAACCGAGCGATAACGTACTAGTTCATAGACCGTAAGAAGTGAATATATAGAAAGGTTATGTTGTTCCCTACAGCATAGGGTTATTACAAATAATTTACCAAATGTTTCTAACTAGCTGATTATTGAAATTTTTTGAATTCTGATTTAGTCGAACGACTGCAGTTCGTCTTCGATACGCATCGTTGGTCAAGAAGTCAGTTCGCTACCGGTCCAATGTCGAAATTTGATGTAAACTCACACCTCTACACTAATGTAAATACGCATCGCTCTATTAAGTACATAATTTTTGTGACAGTGAGACAGAATAACGATGTGTCGTTTTATTTTTCTATATATAGATGTCGTCTTAATGGATGCCTGAAAGGCTGGATGTGTAGACAAGGCTTTACCAGGGTTTATGTACTATATATAAGACAAACATAAATGTTCATTTTTCTTTGCGAACGACCTACCCATGATAAGTCAGCTCTGCTTTTCTTACCAACCAAACGTACCCAAAAAAGGAAAGAAACAATAAAATACAAAATAATCAACAATTTCAATTAGTTCCGGTCACACTCGTGATATCGAACCTACTAACAGAACTGTCTCTTTTAAGCAGGCCGCCGACCAAGAAGCAATTCTAGCAGCCTAAATATAGCGAACGTATCGTACTATAACGTTTTTCCTATTAGACGTGCCCACACTAACAAAGTTGTCGATACTCGTGAATCAAAGCGGCATAAAAAACATTGGACCGACCGAAAGGATCACCGTCGAATGGCAACAGGTCTAACTAGCATCGCAGAGAGAGCCCTACAATAGATCGTCGGCCGGATTAATCTCGAATGGATTAGGGCATCCCAGTTGGCGGCGGCAGCCGTAATCTGTAGATCTGCCGACTATACAATGTTCTTTCAAGTACTTGCTGCTAGACAAGATTTCTATGTCTGGAAAAACAAGGCTGCTAGTTCGAGGCCGTGAGCATGGACAGTTCGCATGGCTATCGGCAGGCACTGGATATTGTAACGCCGCGTTATACAATGTAACGTGTTTTAGCCACCTATACAGTAATAGATAAAACAGTTTCTGCTATACCACTGCACGAATTCATGTGCGCATTGTTCAACACTAATATTTTATTAAAGTTTCATACTTGCGATGATGATTATCGGACAGCTTAATACTTACGCAAATGTATAAGCAATGACCACATCCTCGAGTGATACAAACCAACTATAACATGGTCATCTTGTCTATGCAAAACAGCTGCTACCATCCATACCTATGTAAACCGGTCTCGATGTCACACGGCTTCTCAACATGTACTTGAAAAATGGCCGCTCTGAGAATTTCGCCGTGTTAACGTGCAGCGGCACATGGCAAAAAAAAACACCGACCTCTGTTGTGACCTGTGAAAGTCAGCTTTTGCTGCGATCGATATGAAAGGGCAATCAAATCCTTGAGTAAATACCAATTCCATCTTGATATTCTTTTGTTAAATGAACGGCCATCAGTCAGAGGCTCCGCACACGAATTTCGTTAGCGCTGGACAGCGTTGGAGTCGCTCACTTCCATTAAGACGATACTTCAATAACCACCTTAGACTTACAAGTCAATATTTTGTGAAAATAAGAATCCAATAAGAAGAAAAAGACAACAGAGTGAGTGCACAGACTCTCATCGTTGCTCTACAAAGCTGTCAATATCGCAGCATATTGAAGGCAGAAAAGCAACGTTTCTAAAACAAACATGAGCTCCGGGCAAACCAGCGACAATTTTCTCGTACGACACTATAGCCCTTCGTATTTTTAACCCACAAACCCAAATATTATTGAAAAAAAAAACGCATATGATGTCAACCGACGATTGTTAAACAAACCTATTACGAAAGCAACCGAACATGA